GGGGGGGGGGGGGGGGGGGGAGAAGTCATAGAGTCTTCTTCTAAGGCTCGGCTGCAATGAATGCTGTTATCTATGGACTTGACAAGTATGTTATATTTGTACATTTTTTGGAGGTCGGTATTGTATGTCTTTCATGGTGGGGGAAAGTCTTCTGTTTGGGAAAGATTTATTGCAGAAATGGTAAGTGGAAAGATTCTATTGGGATTACAGACAATTAAAAGTTAGCATGGCCATAGAGGAAAATTAAAGGGGAATTCTGTTGTAAACTTATGCAGAAATATTAATCAAGAGAAGAGTAGATAGAAGGGAAGGAAGTAGTGACTAAGAAATGGATACGATATCCCAGATTTCCTGTGCTATTGTGTCTTTTTAGTTCAGTTGAGTCTTATTATCCACTGTGAATTCATTGTGATATCCTTTCAATACTTGATCAAACAAGTTATCTACTTTTGTTGTGTATAAGTAAGGGATAGAGGAAATCCTTGTATTGGTTTATAACGATGAACATGATTTTTTGTTGTCAAATAGATCATGTACTGTTTGAATTCTTTAATTGTTATTAAAATTTCCAGAGATCGCCATGCATATAAATGAAGCTTCTCATCACTGGTAAAAGAAAGGTCATGTGTTATTAAATTCTTTTTTGAATCAATTTTAGTGCTGGAAAGATATTGGAGGACCTATGAAATTCATAAACCTTCTTTCTTTATTGCCCTTGCTCCTTCTTGCTAGAAATTTCTTTCTTTCTTTCTTTTCTTCTACAAAGTACAAACAAAGAATTTATTAAGATAGAAGAGAAAGGTACAAATGCAATTGCAAGAGGGTAAGAAATCCTCAGTGTGTAAAATAATCAAGACCAACAATAACAGAAAATAAAACTAAGAATAAGAAACATATAACATGGCATACCAATTTCTCTGTTGAACTAGCAAGTTCACCCCCTTCCTGAGCAAAAAGACAATGAGAAAAATGCCATAAAGGTAGGAATACAATTAGATCCCAATTAAACTAAAGAGACAACCAACAACTAGTGAAGATTTTAGCATTTCTTTCCACTGAAATACACCAAAGAGCCACAACTTAAGAACAGCATCAAAAGTTTTTAGCATCTCTGCTAGTGACAAATAATCTAAATTAACATGTAGGAATTTTTGAGGGTTGTTGGGGGAAATTTAATGTTTGCCAATCAAGTTATTCCAGAGAAAGAAACTGCTGAACTATGCAAGAACAAATGAGACCCAATTTCTGAACTAAATCTGCATGTAACACAGTAATCTTGGACAAAGCAGTTTCTTCTGAAGGAGACTTCTTTTAAGGAGACGGTCCATTTGATTTTGTAGAATTTTATTGATGAATATTTTTTTATTGGTTACTCCCCCTCTGTCTTTTTCTTTTCCCTTTGTAGTTTGTTATAGTATAAACTGGGGCATATTTTCCTTCAATAATCCTTGAGCACTTCATTGTTTGCATATACATCCACACTCACGATTATTGATGTTAACAGAATGTTATCTGATATACTTGGTTTGGTTTTTAATTTTCTTGATATGCATATATTGTGACTCTTGTAATTTGGTAGTCCATTAGAGAACAAGTTAATCTGATTATTTTTCTTTAATGTTCCAGGGACATATTTGCTACTAAAGAGATGTCTCCTGCTTCCAAATCCAAGTCTAAAGACAAAAAGGCAGGAAAGGAAGCTCAAAAATCTTCTGCCAAGCCCTCGGGATCTGGTAATGCAGTAGCTGGAGTACCAGCTAGTGCATACAACCCTTTATCGGGAACTTTCCATACTCTGGAGATGTCACCAACATCTACCTCCCAAGTACATTCTAATGGCCGTTTTCGGAACATAGATGAGACTGATGAACATCCTGCTGGCTCTGTGGTAGCTAGTGTGGAGTATGATTCTGTTTCTAACAATGGTAGTTGGTCTGGTGAGTCAGAAGATCCTAAAGAGAAAGGTTCTAATCCTCCTGTTCGATTGGAAGCAGTACCGGGAGCTGATAATGACAAAAGAGAGAAAATCCGCCAAAAGAATGAGAGGAAACATCAACGACAGAAGGAAAGGCGAGCACAAGAGTTGCATGATCGTTGCAGTGGATATATTATGTCAAGGAAACTTGAGTCACTTGCGCAACAGCTTGTGGCCATGGGGTTTTCTCATGAGCGTGCAACAGTAGCATTGATACTGAATGAAGGAAGGGTAGAAGAATCAGTAGCATGGCTGTTTGAAGGTGGTGAAGAAGCAGACAATCATAAGGATACTAATATAGGTGGGGGTAATTTGAAAATTGATATATCAGAAGAACTTGCTCGGATTGCAGACCTAGAAATCAGGTACAGTTGCTCAAAGCAGGAGGTTGAAAGAGCAGTTGTTGCTTGTGAGGGTGATCTTGATAAGGCTGCAGAGTCTTTGAGAGATTTGAAGCTGGATCGACCGTCTGGTCTACCAAAGCCAGAGGAAATTGATGATCTTCCTTCCCATAGCAGTAAGCAGTCAGGAGTAGTGATTCAGAATGCCAGGACCCAGACAAAACCCATTCTTTCCCCAAATCAGCCCAAAAAAGATGAAAAGGATTTTAACTATACAAAGCAAGCGGTTATGCTGGGAGGATCTACAGAATCCGGCAGCAGACTTGTGCAGCCTCTTAAGAGAATCCAACCAAAGTCTGAATGGACAAAATCTCAACAAACTGCTGTACCAGCTGACAAGAGGTGGCCAACTGCAGGATCTAATCCTTCAGTTTCTTATTCGTTGGCACCACCCTTGCAAGTTTCAACCACACCTGCCAAGACAGAAGCTTCTTATATGACTGTTGGAGGTGATTATAAGAACCTTCAACCTGGAGCAGCTAGGGAGCCAGTAATTGTGATGCAGCGTCCACAAACTCTAAATGCAAAGCAGATTCCACCAGCCAGTATGAGTTCATCTCCTCCTGGAGCAGCTGCCAGTTGGTATCCATCCAACAGTGTAGAAGTCATGAGGTCCAATGGCTTTATGTCTCACCCCACTAGCACTAGAAGCCACAGTTCAAACTATTTCAGTTCTAATCAACTGTACCACCAACTTCAGTGTCAACCACCTCAACAGTTTCTGGCTGGCAATAGCAGTTCAGTAGATCTTCAAGCAACCAACCGAGGGAATAGCATATGGAGTAGAGCGGCTACATCCCCAACGCTTGCTGCTGCTTCTTCTCTTGGACTTTTCTCTGGGCTAGGATCGGCAGCAACATCAGGGGCAACTTCCCCGGTAGATTGGAGCACTGGGGGTACAATGCAATTTGATTATACCAACATAGACTGGTCCTTGGATCGAGGTTTATCTCCACCACGGTCCAATGCATTATTGCTAGGGCTTTCACCTTTTACAAAGAGTAGTGCTCTATATGGCTCAAATGCTTCTGGCGTGGCTGCTCAGCCAGGAATTAGATCAATACCCTCTAATGGTAGCATTGTTCCCCTGCCTGGATTGCAAGATGGTGGAGTATCCTCTGCTGAAACATCAGGTTCTCGGGAATGGAGTTCTCCATTCGAAGGGAAAGACCTTTTTAGTTTGCCGAGACAGTTTGTTTCTTCTCCTTCTCTGTAGAGTGGAGGGGAGAAATCAAATGAATAAAAAAAGACCAAAAAATGTGTGGATTTGATGTTTGTTCTTATGATGCTATAGTTGATATGATGTTGGTGGTAAGCTTTCAGCGGAAAACTGGCGTTTAATTTCTGGTACCATTTCACATGCACACTACAGAATACCTCGTCACTCCCTGTTACATGCACAATTTACTTCCATACCTTAACTTTGATCGTCCGACCAAGTACTAACAAACCTAGACATTTTAGTTATATTACAGCTACAAGTACGCACTATAAACTGTGTAGAAGTCCAACTTAAGAAGTCTAACTTAAGAAGTGAACTGATACTAACACTAATCAGATGACTTTACTATTCATGATTCAACTTCAATGCTTTGTTTAAATTCGGGCATTAAATCCTATTTGTCATGATAATTGTCCTCTTTGAATTTCCAAATGATGGAGAATCACCAAATCTAATTAAGACTTTTTTTTCTCAATTATACTCATTTAATAAACATTTTCTCTATTAATTAATCCATTTGATAAACAATGATTGTAGTTTTAACATTTAGAAAATGTTCCAAAATAAATAATTTTCTCACTTAATGTAATATTAATTATTATATTTTTCTTTATTCTTTCATAAATTATTCAATCACTATAATAAAAAGTATTATATTTATTGAGGGTGAATATTTTAGTAAAATTGTACAAAAAAGTGTTACATTTATTATTATCTTCAAGTGTGTAGAGACTTTAAAATGCATTCATTCATTATTAGAGAAAGAAGTATTCACTTCTTTTTCTTTTCTTGTTTTACAAAAACAAGATAATGAAATTGAGATAATGGAATATTAAATAAGAGATTTGTAGTCTAAATCCATATCTATTAAATACTTCTATATTTCTTAATCTATGTATATTGTTCTTAAAAAGACTAAAGTTTGGATGCAAAAAAGTATAATTTTTTTCTTCAGAGTTTTAGGAATTGTTAAGATAGAATAAATCTTTTCTATTACTATTAGAGTTAATCACCTATACACTGTCAGAATTTTTTAATTGTGACATGTCACTATAAACACATTTACTTTTAATTGTGACATGACACAATTAAAAGATCTAATTAATTGTCAGTATAAAATTTTTTTATACTGACAATGTATAAGTGATTAACTTACTATTAATTCAAAAGTTAAGATAGACATCAATTTGCATAATTGTTGGTTTGAATGGAATAATTCTTTTCTATTCACCTCAACTTTAGTCCTCAACTTTAGTTTGTTGTGGTGGAACCATGGAAGTGTTTTGACACATTTGAACTTGCAACTTTTAAGAGTTTCCTTGTATTATTATATGAACAACTTTTTCTAATACTTTTTATTTTATTAGTAAAAAAAATTATAGACTTTCCGACTACAACTTTGCACTACGAAGTTGTTCAACTATTATTAACTATCGGAATTAGGATTAGTCCCACAATTATATCTACAAAAAATACCTAATAAAAAAACCTTATTCTTATAATCAAATAGACTTCCAATAGTTAAAAAAACAAAACTTTCAATTGTCGATACAATTAATCACGTTTGGGGAGGCATGTTGATTTAATTTCTATTTTGAATCTAGAATATCTATAAACTCATAATTTTGACACTCACTTCTTAATCATCACACCCCAATTTTTATTTTCATTTTTTTCATATATGTTTTTAGGGAAATTACTATTCTACTCCTTCACACCTCCCTCTCCCCAACCCTCACTTCATCTTCAATCATCTCATTCCTTTTACATTTTCTCGTCCTTCATTGTTTTCTCCACGTGAGTTTTCATATCTCCTGTAGCATTCCATTTTTTTTTTCAGGTGTTGCTGATTTGACGGAAACTGATTTATACAGAACAGAAACTTGTTTCCGTAAAAAATGTCCAAAAAAAAACTCTGAGGGTGGAAAGATGAAACAGAAGGGTGAGGAAATCATGTGAATTGTGATGTCAATTTTCCTCCTTAGCCCTTAAAAGACTCAACTCAACCACCCCAAATTTCAATTTTTTCTTAAAAAGGCACACCTGCAAATGTAAGAGAGGTTCAAAATTCAAAATATATACACATTTCTCTAGTGAAGCCACAGCTGAAATCTGAAATCTAGTAATCCTTAGTTATCCAAAAATATTTACCCCATTTTTAAAATTTTTATTTTTGTGGTGACGACTTCCAATTTATTGATCTGCACCACATCCAATCCAAAAATGTCAAGAAACATGTTTGGCATCAGGGAGACTAAGGACTTATTTTTACATCAATAAATGGTGCAGGGAAAAAGCCAAGTTAATTTTACATTACTATCTAATTATCTTATAAATCATATATTAAACAGACTCAGAAACAACAGCAGAGGCAGAAGGAGTTGAAGCAGGTTCTTGGTACCACTGATTTGCCTCTCGAGTGAGAAAATATGCATCTGCAATTGAAATGAATAAAGGTGAAAAGTCCCCATTAGAACCAAAACCATCAGAAGTTTTTCTATATTGTTCTAAAACAACCTCCTAAATCCTAATGCCTTATAAAGTATTAAATTGTTAATAAAAAAATAAATGTATTCAACATCTTGATTACATAAAAAGCATTAAATTCTTTATTTGTTAACTAGGAGGAGTATTCAGATTCTATCATTGGAGGTGGCATTCTAACTTTTCAAAACTAGTTAAAGGGGTGAACATGACTCCACCTAACTTATTAGTAAAAACTTAGGAATTAGTATATGTGCTTATAACTCAATAAATCTCAGTCATTCAATTCTTTGAAGAAGTGCTCCTTTGTTCACTGTTGTTCCATCAACTAAATGCAAAGGATTGTTATAATTAGGGTCTTTCACGCACTATTCTTAACTTCAATAACCATATGTAAGAAAATAAATCATATTTTTCCAAAAATACGGGTTTAAGGACCATAAAACACATCATTACACACCAGCACTATCTAAAAAATTTAATGAGACAAAAATGCATCTTTTTAATTAATGTAGTGACAAACTTTTCAGCAGACTCCACCCAAAATGCCATTTGGCTTACCAGATTTCACTTGCCCCATCAGAACAGCATTCAAAGAGTGGCCCTGAGTTGAACTTTGTATATTTTTCAAATTAAAATCAGCTATTTTAAGGGATTTATGTTTCTTAACAACTTATATTTCATGTGGAATCACTGCATAATCTTATGCTTAACAGATGTTAACAACAAAATTCATTGCCAACTTTCCAACAAAAAATTGTTGCAGCACATGAAACATAGATTTAATCATTTTAGCTTCTGGATAAGTGGATGTGTGCATATGGAACTAGAGCCTCAATATATCACAGAGATGGATGTAGTTTTTCACTTTCAAGGTTAATTTATGGACGCTTACCTGATAAGAACACATCTTTGTATTCATCCTCATCATAGACAAATTGTGGAGGATCAGGAGAACCAACTCCTACAATAGTGCTTCCACTGCATGAGATGTATTAAGACAGCATATAAGATGATTGCATCTTTCAAAATCAAGAGATTCTATATCAAAGAAAAAGGGAGACCAAAACAAATACAGGACTACTTCAGCATAATTAATATCATTCAGGAAGGGAAGCGTAAATTCAGTTTACTTTTGCTTAGAACCTTTGATAGAATTAGAACTGTAAAGAAATAAATTCAATAATTCAATTACATGGGTATTTCTGGAAAATTCTCTACTGAGGAAGTTCATGGAAAAAGTATACAACTTAGACACAGTTACAGTCTTAGAGAGTGATGCTTGTTTTGAACCAACAAACCATAATTGAAGAACAGAATGAAAGATAGAATGAACAAAGAATGAATCTGTTATTGGAGACTAAAATCTGAAAGAAAAAGAAAGAAATCTCCTTGTTAGGATTTCCCTTTCACCAAAGACTGTTTCAACCAATGAACTACAGAGCATAGACTCGAACACAGACATGGACAATCCAACAAGGCTAATGCCCAAACTGTAGGACACCGAGACATTTAACACATCCATACATGAGAGTCAAATGAAATGAATATGAACATGACAAAAGATCTAGGTTGATAATCAATATTTCTATATTCACCTTCTTCCAATGATAATGGGTCAAACAGAGAATACTAAGAGGCAATGGCATCATTTTGGTAAGAGTTTTGTTTCCTCTCTTTACAAAAAGAAAAAATTCAAAACAAGATGAATTATACAATTCTAAATTGGTATATTCAGCTTCAAAAAGTTAGGAAGCTCTAGATTTTTCCAATGATAACGAGTCACCCAAAAAGAAATCTACTAAGACATTATTTTTAATATTTTATGTTATGTTTAAGCTGATTTTCTTAATGTTTGAGCGCTCTAGCAAGTATATATGACTTTCACAAAAATGTCAGGCTATATACTATAGAATAATAGATTTTCCACTATTTTCACCTTCCTGACATAAAAACAGCATCATATTCTCCACGACCAGCTGCACTTATTCGCTGCTTCAGTTTTTTGAGTGAAGGGAGAACGTCAAATGCTGGAGGTTCTGCAGATGAAGAAAAGGGAAATACATGAAAAGAAAATTAAAAATCAAATGAAAATGTCAAACACATCAGAACAGTAGCAACTTCATTTAGTATTCTGATGCTTGTACATGTGCATCTGGATCAAATACAATAATGTCAATGATAGGAATGATTGATTTGCAGGACAGTGAGGGACATTACTGATATTTCAGTATGTTGTACACATGATTATATAATGAGACTAGAGCAGTAGAATATCGGTTCTGCTAGATTACCTTCATACTGAACACCTCAGAATTATGTGCAATGTGCATTCAATAAGATCAAATCAAAGCCAAAAAATGATATGCAGCTAGAAGCATACCTAAATCATTAATACAAACGTCTTGTGAGATGCCAGTCTTTGAGATCTTCTCCAGCAATGTTAAAGGATCAACATTACTAGTCTGGTCTATCCTTAGACGCTGTATCATTGGAAGTTGTTAAATTTGTGACTATAAAAGGAGGAGAGGAAGTATGGTTTCATTACTACAAAAAGTGAAATACCTTGTAGACTTCTGCAGTTGAACATGCTTGTGGGGGTTTGATGAGAACCATTGGAATGTCCAAAGATACTGGTGGAGGGATATTCTGAACAACCTGCACAAGTGAAAGAAAAAATCTTGAATAAAATATAATGATTGGGAGATCATATTGAATAAGTCTAGCTGCCTGCACAAGGTTAAAAGGTTTATAAATGTGAGAGCGTGTTCTTTAGTAATTGTCAAATAGAATAGCCTTTTATGAATAGATATAAATCCCTTCCCATCCATGACAAAATGATCTAACGTCTTCTAGCACTAAATTATTTAAGGTTTCAGAAATAAAGATCAATCTAGGTGATCTGAACAAACAACTGTAAAGTTTGGGCCCTTTGGTCATATTATACAATAATATCACTCGCTCATATTTAATCAGCAGTGAATGACTATCAAACTTTTGGACCATGACTCTTAAGTTGTATTGCAGGACAGTGGTATAAGTCTCTCAAGTCTTAACACTTCTAGTTATAGCAACACATTAAAATTGTAAGATATATCAATATCAATCGGTGGTACACATTGAAAATCCACAGTAAGATTTAAAAATAAATAAGAAGTAAACATCTAGCGGTTTTTCTCAAATCTGATTTTGAGAAAGGAAGGTACCTAATGTTTGGACTAACCTCTCCTCGACTAGTGCAAAAGGCTGCTCCCTGGGAGAAAAAGAAGGGGATATCCGATCCAATCTCACTTGACCATTCTTGGAGTTCTTTCTCCGAGGCAGGACAACCACTGAATTGATTTGCTGCCCATAATGCAGTTGCAGCATTGCTACTTCCACCACCAAGCCCTGCCCCAGTTGGCACCCGTTTATCAAGATGAATCTGAAAACAACATGAATATACAATACGCACATTACATCTTGTGCTAAGTAGAATTCCAAGCAATCTAAAAAAGCATGCACTTTAATTAAAAATAATAAAAATGAGGAAGAAAATTGCATTGTTAACTCATACCCAAAAGAATTTATCACTGCCAGTCTTCTTCCTATAAAGATTAAGTGCCTTAATAATCTGAAATAAAGAGAATTCCCACATAACATTCTCTGAACAAATAAATGACAAGAAGAAGAAAAGGCTGCAAAGGGAAAGCAGTAGTACCAAATTTCTATCATCAAGGGGCACCCCAGACACGTTGGTTGACAGGCTATCCTTGGTGTTTGAGGGTGACAAAGAGAACTTAATTATGTCACCTAGACTTATCACCTGAAGACTCGAGATGCAAGTCAGCCATGCTCAAGAATACATAAACCACATTAACAAGTAGATGAAACAAAAGAGCAATGAAGCATTTGCCAAATTGCGATCACAACTTACATGAAAAAGAGATGCCAAATCATGATACCCATCTTCCCTCTTGTTAGTTATTCTCAAGAAAACATTTATCTGCAGCAGAAGGGTTGGTAATTTAAAACAAAGCAAACAAATTTGGGTAACCTCTAAGCAAAAGCATGGTGGAAGGTGGATTACCTTGCAAGGAGAAAACAAAGTAAGCCTTGAAAGGGGAGCTTCCCTGTCCACTGCATCAGCCAACTTGTTTATCCTAGCTTCAGGGTCATACACTATCTAATTTTACCAACAAAAAATAAGACATTTAAAAAACATTTATTAAATATGTCCACAAAAATCAATCCAAACAAAAGCATAACACGATAAAAAAATCTCATTCTACCCAAACAACCGCACTGAAACTCCAATTCAAATCATAACACTCAAAAATGATGAAAATTCAATCCAAGGCATGATACACTAAAAATTCAAACTTTATCTCTAAAAATTTGCCACTCAACACAAACAACCACACTGAAACTTCAATCAACTAACAACATAACCAGAAAAAAGAGGGGCAAAACATGTAACCTCTATTTGTTTCCTTGAGGAGTTGGAATCAGAAACCATGGCTTTGACCGAGTGGGGTCTCTGAAACTGAAGCTTTGTGTGAAATTTGGATGACCCATTTGGTCTGAACTGAGCTAAATGGCTGATTCTGAAGGGGTTATGGGAAGTGGGTAAGACATAGTTAGTGCAAAGAAAGTGGGAGGAAGCCATGGATAGGTGAAAGATTGAAACTTCAATCCAGTTGCAGATTTCTGCGTACAAGGAAAAATGTCAACTCAAGCAATGTGCTTTGTGTTTGTATATTCTTGCCACCAACCAAACCCGGTGAAATTCGGCTTTGCAGGTCAAAACTTAAACATGTTTCTGACAATATTATAACAAAATCAGGACTGGTTATTCAAACGGTGAAAGCGATTCCTTTTTATTCAAATTAGGCAGAAATTAAATTAATATTTTAATATTATATAATATCTTAAAAAATTACACTAAAGTTAATTACCTATTTTTTTTCGATAAATATTAATTATGATAAAACAAGTAGATATTAATAATATTATTATAAAAATTATATTTATAATCTTTTGTTTTTAATTTTATGTTTAATTTTTAATTTAAACTATTTTTATAAAATTTTAATTTTAATTTGACTATTAAACGTATATTTCTTGACTATTAAAATATTAGATTGAACCTGATATTATAAGTGATAATATTAATTAAATAAATAATGTAATAGATAATATTTATTAATATTTAAGTTAAATTATTTTTTTTCTTCATAAAAACATTAGCAATAACTTAAAAGAGATTATTACCATTTTTATGAGGTGAAAAAGAGGATTAAAAATATAAATTAGATTAAATATTACTAAATATTATTTTTTTAATGTTATTCAAATATTGTCACGTCATAATCAAAGTTATAATTTTAACGTTTAATAAAAGTTATATTTTTAATGATTAATAAATAAATATTTAATAATTGAACTAAAATTATAAGTTATTTTTTTTTATCAAATTAAAGAACTATAATTGTATAATTAAACGAACTAAAATTGAGGATCCAATATAATAATAATTATTTTCACAAAAGAATATAACAACGATTAAGGAGTGCAAAAGAGGAAATTTTGGCTTATATAATAATTAAGTAATAAAATTAAATAAAATTACAAGAAATTAGAATATAAAACTATAAATATATGTTTAAGAGATAAAAATAATTATAATTAAGAAAAATAATTTATATATACTTACATATAGTCTTTGAATGAGTTTTATTCATTTTAAAAACTAAAATTGTTTTAGATAAATTAGAAAATAATAAAAATAGAAAATATACGTTGGAACAAGTTTTTTTAATCAATTTTCACTAATGTTAGACTAATTTAAATATTGACCGACAACTTAAAATAATGGTTTTTAGTTGGTAAAAAAATTAGTTGGTTTAAATTTAAATTTTAAAAAATATTTAATTAGTGATTTCATACATAATAGTAATACATGCTTATAGATTATGATATTCCTTTTCTTTTTCTACTACTTACTGATTTGTAAACAAAATATCAACACGTAGTATAATTTAATTATGTTATCACATTACTTATTAATAAAATAATAATAATAAAATATATTTTTACAAAATTAAGAATCAAATAACTTTTATGCAAATTGTAAATACTCCTTGTGGTCCTTATATTCAACGGATCTACTACTAGCCGTTAAAAAATATACAAGTTCTTACTTAAGATTAACACACATGCAGTTCCTGAATATACAAATAATATATATATATATATATATATATATATATAACCATTTTTGCC